CTTGTGCCATCCCATGGTGCTGATGCCATCCCATGGTGCTGATGCCATCTCAGAGAGCTGGTGCCACCCCCCGGGTCCAGTGCCATCCCAGGGAGCTGGTGCCATCCCCAGGGCTGGTCCTGCTGGCACGTGCTCACCCCTGATGGAGTTTCCCCCCTTAAATTCTCCCCTGCCCCCCACCCCTGGCTGTTGCTCACCTGCATCCCCACGGACAAGGCAGTTCTTCTTGTCACAATGCCCTGGCTGGCACTATATTTCACCACTATATTTCAGGCCACTATATTTTACAGCCAGAGTTCCTCTTTGCAAGATGGATTTTAGAAATCTCAAGCACCAAGAGAATCACCTGTGGCTTCCCTACACAGCGAGCCCTTGCCTCCCCAGACCCTGCAGTCCCCTGTGGCAGCAAGCATCCACACCAGACCTGTCCTCAGCTCTGCTTTGCTGCTTCTGTCCTGCCTGGTAAAAGTGCCAGAAGTTTCTGTTTCTCTTCTGTTTCTTACCAAACATGATTTACTTACTGTAACTGGCTATCTGTTATGCCCTGAGCTGCATTATTAACTTGGTGATCGTACATTTAGCAGAGAATTTATGAGAAATGAGGAGACATTCATTATCAGTAACACCACAGACTTTACTCTTATATGGTCTCCCTGCATGGAGCAATGCTTGGCTCAGCCAGAGCTCACCCAGCTACAGCCATTCCCTGGGCCACAGCAGGACAGGGCTGCTCTGCACATTTCTGGGGCTGCATTCCCCTCACTTAGGCCAGTCCTTATTTTTTCCCCCTATTAAAATATTTTCTGATGGAATTTAACTGGCTTAATTGTGCCATCATGCCTTCTGTTGTCTGAAAACCAGGATGTTTTTCCTGTGTGAGGATTGTCTGAGACATATCTGTGCTTCCCAGCAACTGAACTGCAACAGAAGTGCCCTTAAAATATCCCCCTTATCCTGAACCTCTGACCTGGGGACAAACATCCCCTCCTTCCTGTACCTCTGAACTGGGGACAAGTACCTGCCCTGTCCTGTGTCTGTGAAATGGGGACCACAGGAGGAGTCACGAGGAGCACAGATGGCCAAGTTAAACTCTTGGGGTTTCTGTGAGCAAAGCGTAAAGTGTCCTGCCGTGAGATTTGGACAAGTGTTCCCAGATGTTCTATTAAAGAAACAACAACCACAGAAAAACCCGAGCAACAGCCAAACAAACAGAAATCTCAGGTGGAGTCCCAGAGGCACACAAGTCCCCGTGGAGAGAGGCTGTAGGCAGGTTGGAGCCAGGGCAGGCACTGCCATATGCACGAGCTGGATGTCTGACAACCTCCCAGGAATTTGGATTCCAAGAGCAACACAATGAACCAGTTCCTCCTTGACCTTAGAGCCATGCCACAGCTGTCTGCAGAGCACTCCATCTCAGAAACCTTTCCATCTCTGAAGCCTTTCCCAGCAGACAGTGGCATTTCTGGCTCCTGGGAAGGGCTGGGCTTCCCCAGCTGCAGGCTGGTGGCAGCTGTGGAGGCTGTGAGGAGCCAGAGCTCCAGACCACGGAAACCAGGGAAAGGATGGGAAGAGCAGAGATGGCTGGAGGCTCTTGGACATTTCCCCTTCTTAGGTTTTCACTGAATGGCCTGACGACAAAGCAAATATCTACCTATATCTGTATCTATCTATCTATATCTATATCTATATCTATACCTATATCTATATCTATATCTATATCATCCATATCTATCTGTTACATCTCACAGGTATCACAGGACACTCTGAGTCTCAGCTCCTGAATGCCCCACGCCTGGCTGGGAAGGTCTGGGCAGCACTGATGCTCCACGGGGGCTGCTGCATCCTCCGACCCCAAATGGGTGCTGCAGACCGGGCAGGCTTTGGCAGCAGCCAGCGGGAGGGAAAGCTATGCAAAACACGCCCCAGGGAGCTGCCAGGCATCCCGGATTACCTTCTTTGGAGTGGTTTTGGAGGCGACACGAAGGCAAAGCCAGTTCTCTGCAGGAGTTTGTGGCGCAGGCACTGGCTGCCCCTGCACCCCGGGCAGTGCCAGCTCCCTCCAGCTCCTGCCCTGGGGCTTTCCTGGCAGCAGAACCGCTCCCACCCCGAGCACCCCGAGCCCGGCACACCAGGAGAAGCAGAGCACAATTAGAGAGGTGGCTGTGCCTCTCTGCAGACGGTGGGGATGGGAATTAATCCTCCCATTAACGGGTGAAATGGAGCGTTTGCGTCTCACAAAGCAATTACACAACAATAGCAGGAGAACGATGATAGAAATCACATCGTCTCTGAAGTTGCTCTCCAATCCAACACATGAATAATTCCTCCTAGGCATTACTGGGAAAGCAGTATTAAAACACCCGTATAAACAAAAATTACTGGAAAAAAACAGACGAGGCATGCTTCATCGCTCTGTCAGAGCCAAGCACAACTAAATTTATACAAAGTGGGCAGAGAAGCTTGAAGGGGCAAAGACATTTGTTAGTGCTCTGTGCGAGATGAGCTCACAAGGAACGCGTGCTTGATCTTGGCAGCTTTCTGATGTCTTACTCCTAAAGCATCAGCTTTAGTCTCGGTTTCCATGGCAGATACTTTTCTGAGCTTGTATCTTCCACAGATATTGCTAATTTATGCTGTCAGCCACATCTCTGCAAATACCTGCAGAGTGATTCCATGTGCAGTGGGAGTGGTGAAAACAAGGCGCACGTGAGCCTGCCTCAGCTCTTGTTTTAGACCAGGGCACTAAAAAGGGTTTGTTTTCTTCAGCCCACAAGATCTTGGCTGATCTTCTGGCACTGAATTTTGCCCCAAATACCCTGACACGGCGTTATCTGTCCTGTGAAGCAAAGCACTTTGAGCATTTCATCCGGGCACGTGTTTTGGGCAGGTTTACCCCCTCCAGTGCTCGGGCAGCTCTGAGCAGGAAGGGTTGGGCAGCACATGTGGCCCTGCTTCCTTCTGCTCCCCCATCACATTTCATGTTAGCAGAGTCTATAAACCATGAGATCTTTCCCTGGCAGAGATCCAGCCACACCAAAACTGTCCTATTTTCAGGCTGGATCTATCAGCCCTGCAAATGCTGAACCAGCAGCTGATGAATTGGTCTCACCAGTTTGGCAAGACCATGGCAAGGTGAGAGGCTGCACGTCTGGCCGGTGGAAGAAGAATCCCAGGGATTTTTCAAAGATGTTGTTTGCACACTGACGCACAGAACATCCAGCACAAACAAAAGAAATTGTGAAAAACTTGTAAAAAGTAACTCACACGGTGACAGAGCCACAGGAAGCCATGGCACGTGCAGAGAGAGCTCATGCCAGAGCAAAGTCCTGGCAGCACTGGGGAAACCCATGTCCTGGCAGGATATGGGCACTGCAGGGTTCAGGGCTGTTTCAGGATGTGCCCAGCAGCAGCAACAGGTGAGTCCCAAGTCCCAGGTAGGAAAGAGGCCAGACACTGAAATGAGGCCACTCCTTCTCTTAAGGATAGAAGCCTGGCAAGTCCTGGCCAGCTGGAAGTTGGTCTGAGCCTGGATGGAGCTGGGCTTGCCAGTCATTCTGGGGCCCAGGCAGGATCCTGCCCTGCTCACAGTTCACCTGGTGACCAAGAACTCACAGGTAATCCCCTTCTCCAATCTGAGCCAGCACAAGCATCTACACACGGGCCTCAGGTGGATCACCTCTTCAGTGCTCCCACTGACTGCTAGAGAGGTGTGTATGGCTCAGGAAAATCCCCTCCCTCTATCCAAAGGAATAGAAGTTTTAAAGGGAATGTGGAATAAAACGCATCTGGGTGATGTTTTCTTGGATCTGTTCTTCAGTGTGGTCAGAGGTAATTTCTCTGGTAAGTGAGGGAAACCCCTGGTCTGAGTGGGATGGAAACAGAGGCTGCTCCTAGAGCCTTTCAGCAGGGATGAGTAACAGGGTCAGCAGCAACAGTAAACAAGATTCTGATTTTCCAAACAGAGCCTCCGCAGCATCCGGCTGCTTTAAAACATTAACCAAAATACACTTATCTCTGGCTCCTGGCCTTAAGTGACTTTTGAACCCACAGCTATTCTGGGCAGTATTGACTGTGCTCAGTACACTCCAGGTGTGGAAGGCCAGCAGGAGCCCTGGTGGTCAGAGCCAGCCCCCTCTGTGCCCTGTCCACAGTGCCTCGAGAGAGAGAAGGGACCCAAAGGGTCACTGAGTCCAGCTCCTGCTCCTCACAGGAGCCAAAACTAACCTGTGTGACTAAGAGAGAGTCCTCCCAGCCCAAGGGCTTGTCATTGACCAAGGGTGGTATAGAGAGCACACACGCTTATGGAGCAGAGGTGAGTTTTCTTTCCAGCACTAATGAGCATGAAATTTAAGCAAAAGGACACTGGAGGCAGGAGCAGGGCAGCAAACTGAGTTTTCTTGCTCCCCCTGAGACCACTGCCATGTGCAGCTGAGGGTGTAACACCCAGGGAAGTCATCTCAGAGGGTGTTATGGATCACCTGCCTTTGGGACAGCACTTCTCAGTTAGGAACTGCAGCTCTGTGTGCACCAAAGATGAGTTGCATCTGCTGGGAAGCAGCAGAAAGGAGCTCATGTCCAGACAGGAGCAGGTTTGCAGTGTTGGCAATGGAGACAGAGCCAAGTTCTTGGCTGTTTGCACAGGCTCCAGTCTCTTGCTAGCATTGCAACAGTTCTCACCTGGAGCTTTACTTGTTTATGGTATGATTCTTTGTGCACGGAGTGCTTTTCACATGCAGCAAGGGCAGGAGTGGAGTTTGGGCTGTGCTGGCTCAGTCCCACAGCCACGGCTGAAGCCTGTTCTGTGGTGGGTCAAAAAAACCCCAACATTTCCTTTGATGAAGCAGAGAGGACTTTTCATCTCGTCCGCACGACAGGAAAGTTGGCAACTTAAATGTTAAACTTGCCTGTGACTGTCGGGTGTTGACATCATCGTGATCTCAGCGCTGTAACCGGAGCCCTCCAGCTTTTCCTCCAGCCTGCCTTTAAATACCAGCCCTGGAGCCGGCACAGCACGCCTTCCTCCGCCTGGAGCCCGGGGCAGAGCCGGCAGAGCCCACGTCGATGAAAGCAAAGACAGGCTCCAGCAGCGCAGCCATGTCCACATCCCTGCGAGTGAGCCCCTCGGTCCACGGCTACCGCTTCGACACGGCGCTGCGCAAGAAAGCCGCGGCCAACATCTTCGAGAGCATCAACGAGGCGTCCCTGCAGAAACTCTTCAAAAACTCCGGGGACAAGAAGGCGGAGGAGAGAGCCAAGATAATCCTCGCCACCGACCAGGACATGGAGGAAAAAACGAGAGCGCTGATGGCACTAAAGCAGAGGAGAAAAGACAAACTGCTGCAGTTCCTGACGTTTCGGAAATACTCCCTTAAAGTTCGCTGAGCTGGCGGAGGCAGCAGAAATGGAGAACGTTTTGTGGCGGGGCTGTTTGAGACCTCCTGCCACACTCGGCATGCTCTGCTGCCCCGTGGGCCTGGGGACCTGACAGCCCAAGCAGGGGGCTTCGGCCCCGCCGCAAAGCTCGAGCCACGGCGGCATCGCTGCGGGCAGCAGGCGGTGCCCACGGCAGCCTGGTGTGCCCAGCAGCACTGGTGTGCCCAGCAGCACTGGTGTGACCAGCACTGGTGTGCCCAGCAACACTGGTGTGACCAGCAGCACCAGTGCCCATGGCACATCAGTGTGGACAGCAGCATTAGTGCCCATGGCACATCCATGTGGACAGCAGAATCAGTGCCCGTGGCACATCCGTGTGCCCATGACAGCACTGGTGTGCCCAGCAGCATCAGTGCCCATGGCACATCAGTGTGGACAGCAGCACCAGTGCCCATGGCACATCCATGTGGACAGCAGCATCGGTGCCCATGGCACATCCAAGTGCCCAGCAGCATCGGTGCCCATGGCACATCAGTGTGGACAGCAGCATTAGTGCCCATGGCACATCCATGTGGACAGCAGCATCGGTGCCCATGGCACATCCAAGTGCCCAGCAGCATCGGTGCCCATGGCACATCCAAGTGCCCAGCAGCATCAGTGCCCATGGCACACCGTTGTGGCCAGCCTGGTGGCCAGAGGCTGGCAGAAAGAAAGCAGCTCCCAGCCCGAGGCAGAGCTCCTCCGAGCTGGAGGGGAGCCCACACACCCGGGTGTGACTCGGGACCTCCTTGGTGCTCACAGACTTGGCCTGGGTGCTTTGCCTCTTCAGCCTCGTTTCCCTAAAGCCTGAGCCCGTGCAGAGGTGGTGCTGTGGCTGGTGGGGGGCTCTGCAGACCGCTCAGCTGCTGCTCAGGGTCACTTTGCATCTGCCAAATGCACCCAAAGGCAGCAGTGGTGCAGTGAGCTCAGCCACCTGGGAAGGCGTTTGCTCCAGAGACACTCTGCACAGCTGTGCCTTTCCTTGCCGAGCTGTATGTGTGCAGGAAAAGTCGTTTGCACAGAAGCAATAATAATGACAGATTACCCTGAATTTACTGTGAAGTTCCCTAATATTATGTTCACTTACCACTAACACTAAAAATCTAAATATAATAACTGCAGTTCTTCTCTGTGTAGGTTACAGTCACTATTAGATGAGTACTTACTTCATGGCAAAATTTTATGACAATGTTGTTGTTATATTGGATATAATTTATTGCATACACTGATGTGAAAACTAATAAATTATGAAGTAAATCTAAATTATCTTGTCTGAAATGCTCAGTTCTCCTGGAGTGGTGGGGTTAGACTTTTTTTGTCGTTTCATAGGGACCTGGTTTAGGAGCAGACTATGTGCACCTCTCCCTCATTCCCCAGACATGGCTTTGGCAGCCCATTCTCAGGATGTGGAGCAGCCTCTGGCTTCCCCATCCCACCTGGCAGCACCAGGTTGGCCCACAGTTGCTACGGCAACCATGGTTTTTTTGGGTTTGTTTGGTTTTTTTTTCCCCAGAAAGGTCTCACCAAATTTGTTGCTAACCAACACCAGTGTCAGTTTCCCCTCTGTAACACCAGAATAACATGCACTGAGGAAAGAAAGGTGTAGAAAATGAATGGTTTGGGACCAGGGTGGGCAGCACAGCTCGCCAGCCTCTGGCATTTCTGCAGAGCAGAGAAGGAACCTGGGCTTGGCTCCTCATCACCCAAAGAAACAGCAGTAAGTTACAAAGCTTTGGCAGCAGAACTGGACTGTTTTTCTGCAGGTTTTGCTGTACTATCATGATAGATGATGCTGGAAGTACTTAAAAATAGCAAAGACTGGTTATTTATAAGTCTGTCCTCTAATAACCTGATGCTTTAGATAAAAACATTCCCATGACTCTGCTTAGAGCAACAAAGATAAAGCAGCTTGGAAGAATGATAGCCCAGCTACAGTTTTTTTTACCTACAGTAAGAACTCCAAATTGCCAATAAGTCAGGGAGACTGGAAATAATCTTTTAAGTCACCTAATAGAATGGGCAATTATAATTATTTATAACTGGAGCGGGATGCTCGGTGATTTCACCTCCCAGGAAGAGCAGAGTGTAAACTGTTTTGGGATGAACCTGTTTGAAGGAGCTTCCAAAGGCTTTTCAGAACTGTCCTTGCTCAGAAAAAGCTGTCTCAGAGCAGGTTTGCTGCAGAGGAGTTGCCAGTTTTCCAGCATTCCAGCAGAGCAGGGTCCCACACTCTCTGCAGCTGCTGCACCGTCGGTGACACATCCCCACAAACCATCCCCAGCCACAAACGCTGCCTCAAACGGGCTGTTCCCAAAAAAGGCCAAACAGGACCACTCAGTGCCTGCTCACACCCAGCCACTCTGGGCCCTGGGGATGCCACAGCTCCTCCCAGAGCAGCATCTGGTGACAAACCTCACAACTGGGGTAAGGAGCCCGCGAGCCCACCCGCCTCTGGGGCGTGTTACCTGCCAGGACCCGAGCAGCCTGCTGCTGAGGATGCTCTGAGAACAGCCTGCAGGGACCAGATCAGCTCTTCAGCCTCCTGCTCTTCCCTGGCCCTGCTCCCCTGGGCCATTGAGGTGCCCACAGTGCACCCCCCTTGCCAGGCTCAGCGCTGGATTTAACAGAGCCTTGTCACTCTCTGGGCCCCCAAAACCAAAGCAATGACCTGGGCAGCCTGGGTTATCATTTGCCAGCAGCTCTTCTTTGAAAGAAGGAAGCAAATCTGGCAGAAGCCATGCTTGTGGCAGACTGAAATCAACACCCACTGAACTGGTTGCTGCCGGCACGTCCTAGGGTTGCCCAGACAGTCCTGTTCACAAGATTTGCATGGCATGATTCATAACATCCGCTGGCTTGGGGATTTTATAGTCCTTCTTGTCTCATCACATTGAAATCATCAGCCCGAGTGGTATCCCTGGTAAATAAAGGCCACTTTCTAAGAAGTTATGTGATTATTGGATATTTACAGTGAGAAAAGGCACTTTTCCTTGGCTGTAGCCTGCTTTGGCAGGTTTGTGCTCCAGGAACATGCCTGACAGTGGGCTCAACAAAAACTGCAATTTTCACGGAACACGAATTCTCACGGCACACGGGCCAAAGACAGTTTGAGGTACAAACGCCCAACCACCCCAGCGCCCTTGCACGCACTGTGCTGCTGCTCTGCTTATCTCCAGGGCTGCACCCGGCTGGCTCAGAGCAGCTGGACCCATCCCCGGTGTTCGTGGCACGGAGGGCACTGCCGGTAAGGATGCCCAGGCTGTGCTGCCGCTCTCTGCCCGTGCAGGGAGGGGTGGGAGGGCAGGTCCCCGGGCGGTGCTGTCCCCGGGCCGTGCTGTCACCCAGCCGTGCTGTCACCCAGCCGTGCTGTCACCCGGCGGTGCCGGCCCTTCCTGAGCTCCCGGTGCCGCAGAGCCGGCCCTGCCATTGTCATCCTCCCGCACAACAAACAGAGGAAAAGGCTGTTCAAGGAATTTCCTCCCTCCAGGAGCCGGGCGTTTCCATTAATTCTTCTCCATGAGTCAAGCTGGCTGTACTGGGTGTCCCCTGTCCCAGCATCCTGAGGAACATGCATCTGAAGAGCTAATTTTATCCAGCTTGTCTGACGCCCTGCTTAGCAGCCGTGCTGGGAGGGTGCTGGTGGTTCCCCACTACCACTGCTGGCTGGGGAGAAGCCACGGAAAGGCAGGACAGAAACTAAGGAGAAGACTTTTGGCAGAAGATCTGGCTTAGACTGGGAAAGGTGGGGAGCAACTCAAAAAGAAAGAAAAGCCCAGAGCAAAGGGGGTGTCAGTGACAGCAGACCACACAGAGGTCCCACCTCTGTCCCCTCGTCAAACACCCATCCCCATCTCTCCAAAATCCATGAAAAGATGGGGTTGGAAGGAGTCAGCAGCCCGGCTCAGCACGACCAGAGCGTTCAGGAGGAGATGAGGATGTTCCCAGTGTCTGAACAGCCAGTACCGTGACCTTCAGTGTCTGGTGAAATCAGCACACAGGGCAGGAGCAGAGTCCAAAGCCGAGCTGGGCCAGCCCTCACCCGGCTGTGTTTGTGTGTGTGGGGGGACAGGGTGCTTCAGTCAACAGCAACACCTCCCTGGCAGCTTCCCTTACACCGTGGAGCAACAGGCAAGTTAAAAATTAACCTTTGAGCTGAGCTTCTGCCCCGCTGCACCCAGAGGGACAGACTCTGCTTGGCAAAGGAGTAAAGCAGCAGCCTGGGTGTCCCTGGCAGCCCTGGCAGAGGGGGTGCCTCGTGCTTGTGAAAACAGTCACAGATGAAGCATATTTCATCTGCAGCTGCCCAGGGAAACCTCTGCTCTAAAGCAGGTTAAATGTGAGCGACAAGCTGTAAAGAGTGAGATTTGTGGATGTGCTGGTGTGGTTTTCACAGAAAAGAGCTGGTCTGGGGTTTCAAAGCTCCAATGCCTCACGTGCAGCAAAACGATGCTCCAGTGTCAAGCCAAGGCTATTTATGAGAAGAAAAGCCTCTGAAATATTGCAGGCAACAGGAGATGGCACAGTTACCATTTATCTTTGCTAAAAACCAAAAGCTGGGCCGTGACCAGAATCTTAACACGAGACCCTGAAAAAGCCCCTTATTCCCGGTGAGCCGCGCCTCGAATGAATGCACGGCCCGAGCAGCTCTGCCGTGGGAAGATGTGACATTTTCTGCTCCACGGCTCCCAGCTGGGGGCCCGGGCAGTGAATCAGAGCTCGGGCAGCGGCAGCTCCCGGATTGCGGCTCCCACGCAAAGGGAGCATCACCGGCCCCATCACCGCGCAGTCACCGGGCAGCTGCCGGCATCCTGCAGCCTCCTCCGCGGAAAACCCGCTGCTTACAGTGCTGAACACTGCCCCGGGCCTGGCCGGGTCACTGATTCATCCCGCAGCCATCATTTCCCAAAAAACGCCTGGGAATGGGAGCGGCGGCTCCTCTGCTGCCGGAGCCCGAGCCCTGCCCGCTCCCTGAAATCCTCCCCAAATCCTCCTGCCGGACCCCGGGGGCCCGCACCCATCACTGCGGGAAAAGGAATTCCCAGGGGGAGCTGTGTGAAAGCTGCTGCTCTCCCACATCGTCAGAAAATTCAGTTTTTAAAACACCCATGCGCATGAAAAAGTGGATTTGCGTTGTCTTTGTGAAGTACAGATGCTTTAATGCCTCAAGGAATTAGGGAAAATCTGACTAAAAGTACTTTCTCCACCTGCTGTTGTTTCTGCCTGGACCATAATGGAAAGGGAAGAGAAAACTGCCACACTGTGCTTCCCAGACTGGCTATATTCCAGCTGGGCTCTGTTTAAAATTCACCTGCCATTTCAAATGCTGAAAATATTCCAATCCAGACACGGCTTTTTCTCCCCCTCTTCCTGAACAGCAAAGTACAAGACACAATTTTTCATTTAGAAATCTGCTTGGGAGCCATCAGACCCTTCCTTCCCCCAGACTTTCCGTGAGGCTCTGATTTGCACCCTCACCCTGGTACCATTTTCTGAGCCACTTTGCAGGAAGGCAGCACAGGCTGCCAGAGAGGACAAGGACAAATGTACAACTCTAAGGCAAACTGAAACCTTGAGCAGAGTGCAGCCCATGGAAAAATTCCAGGTGACTTGAAGGGTTTTGTACAGAAGTAAAAAAACCTTTAATATATTATGCAGAACATGCTGCCAGACACATGCTGGTTTTCTCCTGATTCAAACAATAAACTTCTTCCTAAACACTGAATGTTTTAGCCACAATAAAAGTGTGCAAAAACACGTTGTGAGGTTGGAAAGGCATTTACCAAAGCCAGGGAGCAGGAACAAGGTCTCTGTGCCTGGCACAGCCCAGATTTACAGGGGTCAGCAAAGCCCCCTAGTGCACTGCCAGGCACGTCCCCTGACTCCCAGGAGAGCTTGGGACATAAACCCTAACAACACGCCTGATTGCAGAGCTCACAGTTTGCCATAAGCAAATAAATTAGGGATAATTTAATATTTGATTGGAAGATTTACTGTTCTACCCTTTGCAGCTTCACAGGTGGATACCCAGTAATGGAGAGAGAGGAAGAGCCCCATTAATTCTCAGCAGCATGGACAGGCTGGGGAAACCTTGAAGCACCTCCAGCCTGAGCCCAATCCCTGCTGGGGAAGGTGAGGAAGCTCCTCCTGGATTTAGGGGGGCAATTATTGCTCTTTGCCTGTAGCTGATGCCCAGAGCCACACACCCATCACGGGGCAGAGCAGAGTTCAGAGTCTCCTCACAGAACCCGGCTTGCAATGACCTG